CTAGTGAAATATACTGTGTGAAATATGCTTTAAATATTAGGTCGCTTTATTTCATGCGATTCTGTATCTATCAGTTTTCAATTTTATGAGCTATTTTTCTCAGTATAGAGCAGGAGGAACACTTAATAAGGAGCACAGTATGTGGACCTTAGTAAGTTATAGCATGTATTGCAATCTGTATAATTTTTTTCATGGTACTAATTAGTCTAAAATCATTTATTTCAATAATGGGAACTTATTTTCCTCAGTGAGCTTAAACTCCAGAAGCTGAACATATTAAAGTAATAAGAACCTGTGAAAACTAACCACCAATCATCTTTCAACCATCACAAATTATCATTAGCATGGTCTCAAATAAACATTTGTGTCAAGGGATAAATAGCAGAACTTAGTTGATCCTACCCCGCTTCTGAAACTTTACCACTCAGATCATGTTCTGATACCTGGAATCAGCTTCAAGGCATTCTCCAGGTACTGATCTTCTGTGATGGTACGTTCGTTTAACTTCAGCTCCAGGGTGAAATCTCGTACAGTCCAAACAAAGTCTGGAAAGAAACTCACAAACTCAGTGGAGTCCTCTACTTCGTCAGGTCTGGGAGAAGATTTTGCCCCAATGAGCTTTGTTAATTCAGTCACATAGCTGGGATCTTAGCTAAGGAATAAGAAGTATCCTACACCACAATATACAGATATCACTTATAAGCATTTCCTTTAGTCTGGCGTCCATACTCCTCAACCATGACAATTGAGTTACTGGGAAGAAGAAACAGTTTCAGTTTCCATTCCCATAAACTCAATGAAGCATGGTGTTCAGCTCCTGGAAGGATACTGCAGCTGCTCCAGGGCCTGGTGGTTGATGGTGCTGACGCTGTTGTAGACAAAGGTGCTGCTCAGAAGCACAGCCAGGGCAAAGATCCATGAGTCATTCTTAGGGTCACCCTGTAAAAAACATTACAGCAAGGATTAAGGAGTCTACTCTTTATTTATTCATTCAATTGTTCATTCAATACTTCAACTGAAATATAGCTGAATAGTAGAACAAAGAAAAATGTTTTAAAGAATATCCTAAATTCAAACTTCATTTTTTAGTATTAATGTTGACTCCTCTCAGGGTCTCAGTTTCCTCAGCTATTAATAGAAATGATGACATTGTCAACATGCGTAAAATGTTAATACAATGCCTAGAAACAATATTATTTAGAAATTGTTATATTAGCAAAGTTTTATTGATAGTGGCTATATTAGGGGCAGCAATTATTCAATTAAATTCAACAACTATTCACTGGGCATCTACAAAACACCAGACACTACATTTATCCATGTGGATGCAAGGTTCCATGTGACAGTCTGGAGGAGAAGACAGCATGTAAACATATAAATGCAATCAAGATGATAATCTCTGCCAGTAGTAGAATGAAATGCTATTATAGAAAGGAAAATAGATAATTTCAATATATGGGAACAAGTCGTGTGCAATTTCAGAGTGATAAGCAACTATGTGTGACTGGGATACCATGGCTGTAGGTTCAAAATAGCTGCATTTTTTAAAATTGATAGAATATATAATTGTAGATTTGAAGAGATCATACATGCATAAAGACCACCACCAGACAATTCAGAAATATTATAAAGCATGAGTAATTACTCAAAGTAATGTGAAATAAGAAAAATGATTTGTTGTATCCAATACTATAAAGAAAAAAGTACTTAAAATTATCCCATTTAAAATATTCTTCGTGGGTCAAGGTCATGCTTTTATAGAAGTCAGAGAGTAGTTATCTCCAAAATCCAGAGACTTGAACCAAAACCTTTATGAACATCCCTGCTTTAGCTGAAGCTTTTCTAAGGATTATTTAAATACATTATTTAACTGAACCTTATTTTCAGTTTCTACTTCCAACCCCATCATATCTACATATTGAACTGGTAGCTCCCTATTATGGGTTGAATTGTGTCCCCTCACCCCCAGAAAAAGATATATTGGAATCCTAATCCCCAGTATCATAAATGTGATCTTATTTGAAGATAGGGTCTTTGCAGAGGTAATCAAGTTAAAATGAGGTCATTACAGTGAGCCCTAATTCAATATGACTGGTGTCTTTATGAAAGAGGGGGATTTAGACATGGAGACAGACATGAAGACAGTAATCAGAGTAATGTGTCTACAAGGCATGGAATGCCAAAGATTACCAAAAGCTAGGGGAGAGACACAGAAAAGTCTGTCCCTCACATTTCTCAGAAGGAATCACCTTGCCAACATCTTGATCTTGGACTTCTAGCTTCCAGAACTATGATGCAGTAAATTTATGTTGTTTAGCCATTCAGTTTGTGGTGTTTTGTTATATCAGCTCTAGAACACTAATGCAGTCCTATTAACCTAACAGGGTACAGTTTAGATAGCATTTCCTCCAGGAAGCTTTCTCCAGCCCACATAACTAAGTTAGATGCCTACTTCTGTGCATCCATGGCCCTTTGCACTGATCACACTGTGCATTGTTTGGCTCCTGAACTCAGCTCTAGGCCTTTACCTTTTTACTGCAGTAACTTTAGTATATAGTACAATGCCCTGGGATTTAGAGCCTCGATAAATATGTATTAAATTATATCATTCATCAAGTGCAAAAATAACAATATCTTACCATAACATACCCCAAATTTTAAGCTTACCAAGGAAGTAAGTTCAAAGAAACAGAATTTAGCCTCATTATCCATCACAAGATTTGCAGTTTTCAGGAATAAGTCAGAGAAGCTGAATTGCGGTAACAAATTTAATGGTAAGTGGAGAATGAAGAACAAAGAAAATTCCTCCATGGCGTCTGACTTACCTTTTCCACATCCCCCAGGCCCTCAGTGTCCAGAAGAACAAGGGTAGATTTTGGCTTGGAAGGGTGAGGTACACACCACATCCAGATGCCCTTGGTTTCAGATCTCACTGTGGTGCCCAGATGGAAACCTGCATGAGAATGGAAACCTACATGAGAAGAGAAGAGAAGAAAGCAACATGGATGTGTGTAGATTCTGACAATACAGCAGATTGAGATTCAACCCCTAATGGTACTGAGCTACAGAAAGTGTAAGACATCAGAGCACAAAAAGTGGCTGCATTGTCTTCATAGGCAGAAAGGATTACTAAGAGCATGGGCCCATTCTCTGAAGATCAATAAGAAGCAAATGAGATGGTCTAATTAAAAAAAAAAAGACTCGAACAGACATTTAACAAAAGAGGAAATACAAATAGTAACATGTGAAAAAGTCCTCAGCCTTACCTATAATGAGGCATATGACATTCAACTAAACAGTCATCACATCAGCAAAAATTAAAAATCTTACATTACTGAATTTTTGCAAGGATGCGAAGAATTCTCAGTTGCTGCTAATAAGCATGTAAATTGTACATAAAGTTTAAAAAGCTATTTGATATTATCTGGAAATGAAGAATGTACAATGCCCTGTG